CAGGGGTCTATGAACTAAACTCAATGGGTCTTTTTGGAATATTCACTATTTCGATTCCTTAGACAGCGTTCAGACTTCATGATGGCAGTTTCGGTCGCGAAGTCTGAGGGTGCTTTCTAGAGGTCACATTTCAAGACATTTGATCCCTACGTATGGAAGCTTCATTAAGCACTTGTGTGAGATACCCATATTGAAAAAAGCCATACATCAACAATTAGTATTAGAAGTTTATCAACAACAACGTCAAGCATCATCAAAGAAAACACCGCCATCGAGTGAGCAGTACTTGGGACATATGCCAGGCTCGCCGTTTTTACCAGGCTCACCCGGTTTTCCGTCGGTTCCTGGTTGTCCAGGTGCTCCCGGTTCACCTGGTGGTCCAGTTGGTCCTTTGGGTCCGTCTTCTCCTGGTGCACCATCCTTAATTAATAAGAGTCAGAAAAACGAATCACGTGCATGTCTATTACAACTTACCTGTCCGTTTTGTCCTGGTGGTCCTTGAAAGCCTGGTGGTCCGGGTGGCCCAGGTGGCCCTTGTGGTCCAGGGATTGGCTGCCCGGGTGGTGCATCTGTTCCGGGTGCACCACTATCACCTGGCCTTCCCATGAGTCCAGGCATTCCAGGTGGACCTTTGTCGCCTGGTGGTCCAGTTTCACCAAGTTCTCCAGGAGCTCCTGGATCTCCTACGGGTCCAGGGTTACCTGGTGGTCCTGGTGGTCCAGGTGGCCCTGGAAGTCCCGGCGGGCATGGCGGGCACGGTGGCGGTGTGATCGGTTCACATGGTGCCTGGGGCGGCCGCCCTGGGTTTCCTGGTCTCCCAGGCATTCCTGGCGCTCCTGGTGCTCCTGGCCGGCCAGGGCGGCCTTCATTACCAGGTGGGCCGGGTAGACAGCATGAACCGCAACGGCCACCACTTTCGTAAGTTGCTTCACGGGCTGTTCGGTTAGCTGGAAGACTGTGCAGGGCGGCCGCATCGGCGTAGACTGCATTGGCTGTGCTTCGGCATGCCGCCATTTCTTGTTTCATCGTCGTTTTGACGTTATTCACGTAGAGGTAGAGGATCGGGAGTGTTGCTGAGACAGATAAAACCGCCACGCACGACACGGCTATCGCCGCGTAGCCCACGATTCGATACGCCTAAAGCACAGAAGGATCACTCCGGGAAAACATTGCATAGTCCATGCTGGTTGTATGGGCGGAGCCGGGCCTACTGTTGGCCATTCTTCATTGTTACCCTTTTGCCGTTCTCGCTGGGTGAGTAAAGCAAGGAGCTGCCAAAGATTAGTGTACCGTGGTTGGCTGTCTCCGCCCATACGATCAGCGTGGACCTTCAGGGCTCCCTGCCCATGATGGAATCCTGATTGAACGCTATAGCCTGGCCATTATGGGAGTGGCCAGCCCACGTTCGTGGGCGGCAAGCATTAAGACTCTACCGGAAAAAAGAAAGACTGGATATTTTTATTGGGTTTTAGACGGCTACTTGAAGAGTCTGATCAGAAATGATTGGTTATAAAACTCGGTCATCAGCGCGCATCTATAGTTCTTCTTTCTCAAAAGTTTTAACTCAAGACAAGCAATCGAAGGTAATCTTTTATTGAACGACTAGCTAAAAAGTAATGTGATTACTAATGGAATGATGGAAATGTGACTAAAAAGGGGTGCACCAATTAAAATCTGTAACCAGTTTGGAAGGTTGAATTCTAACTGAGCTAGGCAGTCATTGTTGTCAAACATAATGAGCATTGCTGCAAAGGAAGAATTTCGCCTAGAAAATAGCCTCTGTCGTTCTATGTTGCTTCCCCTGCTGGCAGAGGAAAATCAGGCTCATATGCATAATAGAAGCTGGCTGAGTGGTTCAGTGGTAAGTAGCGTAGCTCACTGGACGCAGGGTTCGGAGTTCAGATCTCTGGTTGACTTCTGCCCGGGATAGCCGTAGATTTCCAAGGGGTAGGCTTTAAGCGACATCAAGCTGCCATACTAGCTTAGACCGTGAGAGGCAGGACTTCGATGAAGAGAATGTCCAGGCATGGTTCGCTCATGAAGAAATCCCTGCACGATCTGTAGAACAGTTTGTAGCGGTAAAGGACATCGCTAAGCCAACCGTCAGATATTGATCCTGGTCGACTTTAGCCTGAGCAAACCAAAGTCATGGGCAGGTCAACTGCAACCAAATTTGCCTTGAATGGGGGGGGGGGACACACTCAAGTGTTTATTGTCTGACCTAACCCCTGTGTAGCGTGAGCATTCAATCCCACTGCTAGGAATAAGAAGTAGATCGCACGGCGCATACTCAAAGAGGGATGCGAACACAAAGTGCGTTTTCACTTTACCAGGAACAAAAGGCTCGGGGTAGGGGGTCCTCATAATGCAACCCTTACCGCCTTGGGTGATGATTCAGAACCTCTCGTCAGCTTGACCCGTGGATACAGCGCCCGGTAGGGTAAAGGTACTGTACCGAAACATTTTCTGAACGGCTTGCAAAAGTTTAGCGCTGGTAGGACATCAAAAATTTGGTCGAAGGGCGAATGAGATTAACCTTCTCATGAGCCTAAGTCGGTTTCCAAACAACCCTAAGAGCCAGAAAAAACGGAAATTGCAAGACGCCCTCCCTGAGCCTTACCACCCTGGTCTACCTTACTTTGATCGATAAGGCTTACAGCAACAAGTATGGCAATTCTTCTGTGAGAAGCACTAAGAACACCCACTGTGAGCCCACGGAACCCACAACGCTCCCGATAGGGGACCCGGGCGATTCTATCGTCGGCAAGTCAGGTCACGTCGCGCACATCGCGTCGCGGCGTCTCGCGCGGCGGCGCGGTGCGACAATTCCGGAGTTGCATTACCGACATACAAATGAGTCTCGAAGACCGCGTATTCACAAGTTCCGAAAAGCCCAAAATTGGATCAGTAATTTTGAACAAATAACGTGGGACCAGTCTTACACCCTTTACTTTTGAATGCGGAAAAAACAATCATTGATCATCATAGGAAAATGGGACAAGCAGTACAGGATTAACATAAACAATATGGCTTGATGATCATTTTAACAATTTCAACGAGCACGACGCAGCAGGACTCGTACGCGGCGCCCACCAGCGCGGCGACCTACTTATCATCGACGATAGAATCGCCACACACCCTCCTGAGAGGACACGACCTAATGTGGGGCTGTACTAAGGGGCTGGAACGTTATTCTTGGGGAAAAAAGAGGACAAAAGTGCTAATCGCGTTTTCGACACTTTTAATAGTTAGTGCAAGGCGAGAAACAATTTCAGCGCAATGAACCTATGGCTATATACTGGCATGAAAATTTGTAAAGGCTAATAAACTTTCTTGAATGACCAGAGAACCTATTTTGCGAGACCAGATACACAAAATCGTTACGAGCTGGCTAAATTGCCGTCTTATTGATAAAACAGGTGTAAAAGGCTTTGGAAAAACATTAAGGGCACAAATGGTTTACGAAAAACATTTGAAATGTCTTACCTGTATCTTAGTGTTTTCCATGGCATAGAGCTCGAAGAAGGCCGAACGTTCTAGAATGGGGTCTTTATATGACGCGGACGGACGGCAAATTACTGCCAGTTCTCGTTGAGAGTTTTTCCGTGGACCAGCGAGTAATGCTGTGTGACCGGGTACGTAATAGTGGAACAACATTGTGAACGGCTGTGTCTACAGGGTTAGATCATAAAACAAGGACATTTAACCAGACTGATCACATTTGTAGGTCGATGGTGAAGACGTGGAAACGGACAAGGGTTTGGCCAAGTCGTTGACGTTATTCAATGGAGTTTCCATCATCGTCGGATGTATCATTGGATCCGGTATATTCGTCTCACCAACTGGAGTCCAAGAACGTGAGTGTTTCCATGATCTGCTATGTTTATCTTAACAACTTCATTTATTACCATCGCGTTACGGCTATTAATGAGGGTAAGGTAGTGGGGAGAAAACTGCTGCCTTCAAAGGCAGTCCCCGTGCTCAAATCTTAGGCGCCCTTCCTCGCAGAAGCAGGGCACGCCATCGTTGATGATCACAACAGGGAGGGAGGTCGTATTTGACCGCGAGGGAGGTTGGTCATACTTGGTCAGAGAAATTTTTTTGATAGTTGG